GTCAGACAGTGCTTCCAACGTTCCCGATCCTGTGCCAGAGTCTGAGCTTCGGCAAAAGACAAATGCAGCTCTGACACAATACCTTTATCAATATATAGTGACTGGATGGCTCATAGCAACTGGCTTTGCTTAGCAGTCGACGCGTTTCTTTACCATTACCTCTAACTTAATCAGGATTAAATGAAACAAGGGTAAGATCAGCGTTGTAGCATGATGATCGTTTATCAGTGAAATAATTCTGTGTGATAGTTGTTTCAATTGCGTACCGCTTAGGCCTGGAGTAAAACTAGTGCATCAGGTTACGAACTGAATCCGATTTCCACTTATATCAAAAGATAAGGAATATTCATGATATTTTTTTTCGTTTATATGAGAGAATGTGATGGAAGGAATGTAAATGACAATTTGTTACCTTTGAAATGTCGGTCTTCCTTCACTTTAATGATTGGGCCATATTGGCCATTAGCCCCACTTTTCATGCTGATCTCTGTTTCTATGCGATCAGCTGGCAGTACGGTATTTTGTAGGCAGAGTCTGGAGTAGCTATGTGGCAAGCATAGTGTGTAGTCTCTGTTTCTTTCCCAAAGAGTGGTACTCATTTATTATCTTCGTAAGGAAGAAAGGTGAGTCACCTGACTGGAGGTCAAATCCTGGACTTCTAAGATGTGAGTCGGACGTTCTTATTAATAATTTGGATTTATTTATTGTAAACATCACTGCGGTGTTGTCAGGTTTTATTAATGAAATATTTCTATCATTGCAGCGGTGTCCCTCTACAACGGTATTGGATACAGTGACTTAGTGTTCCGCGTTACAGTTGCTGATTTACAACATCTGCTGGTTTTACTTATATAAATTTTGTCGCATGCGTTACTCCTTATCTCATAAACTATGTCGAGGGCTTTAGTTAGATTTTGCGAAGGTACTTTCATAAAACTATAAATGTATAATGTATGTAGTTCAGTTTTGAAACTCGATGCTAAAATCGTAGCCTAAAGTCGCAGTTTATTACGGATTTATTATTACGGATTTTAAATCATATATGCTATGTTGGCGCCGAAATGCTAAGCTATGCAGCGCTTAACCTGTAACAGAAGAGTTTTCCAAATTATTTTGTTACTACCTCTTTTAAATAAAACTTTACGAGTTTTATACCACATGTATAATTGATATGGAAGTTAGATGAAGACCGTCAGGAAGTGCGGTCGACTGACGAACTAAACGGACCGAGATCCCGAGTAACTTTCCTTGAGGACACGTTGGTACCCATCTGTTGAGTGATATTTCAAAGGTTTGCTGACTGTCACTCAATGCGGGTACAGCACTGCAGCATGAACGATTTCATGACTTATGAGCATGAGGTCGTTCTGGCGAGCAGAATTTTGCGAGACGCGTCTAGCAATGCAAGTACTACAGTGCAGTAAAGACCCTGCTTGTCTAAATACCCGTTTTCAGGCAATGAGGCGCACGGACTCTGTGCAATACGCCGTCGTTAAATCTGATCTTTAAAGAGTTATGCGCCATTTAACAACATACGAACACACATTTTAATAATGATATATAATGCGAAGGGCAGACCCAAGGAGATGGAATTTGACCTTGCATTTTACGTGGCTTTAAAGGACTTCTCTTTATGACTGCTATATTCCCTAAGCAAAATATGTACTACATGTTACCTCAGTGCCACCGGCCGTTAAACAGGTTGCAGGTCGTCGACATGTCACCGATGCGAACGGCACGATATACTTATTAATGTCTTGGTAATGTACAACACAGTAAAATGATCTATAAAAGTGAACTGATGCTGACGTGTAAATGCAGATTTCACCAGCCTTCGTCAGGGTAAATCTAATGCACGTTGTTCAGACTTTGTTCTGATTGTCTGCAGCAGACTTGTGGTTTAGGTTTAGTCAATAGGCATAGATGTAGAGTCGTTTTTCTGCTGTTTTTCAGTACTACTGCTGACTCACGAAAAGTATATTCCATAAATAACTAGTGTTGTTCTGGTTTTTGCATAAATTCAGTGCAGTCCACTATGGAAAGTTATTATGTCGAATCTTGCTTTGTGTTAAAGTTTTAAAAACTCAGTTTTCGTCCGATATAAATCAGAAATCTACAGCCGATGGATCGATTGGTCATATGTACGGTTGAGTGTCGGAAGGTCTGTACATTTTTTGACGCTGTCTTAGCACTGATTCACTGACAGCCAGCGTCACCGACATCATTTGAAATGGCCCTCATAAAAAGATGCGTTAGTTCCGTACAGACAGCTTTTGGAGCTTTTCTCATTCATCTAATGGTGCATGACCCGGCAATACTAGTCAAGCTACGCAAAATCAGCGTTTAACGATGTTCGACATTTGTTTTATATGTCCCAGAAGTGGCATAACTTATTTATCCACAGAAGATGTTCGCACAAAGACGATCTTCGCAGCTAAACTACTCATTAATGAATTCATCAGTCTTGGATGATTTTTTCGTTCCTTGTTTATAATCTACCAGTTGCCTACTTTCTGCCGTGGCTCTGCCCGTGGTGTGAGGGAACTTTCTAATCGGACAACCCAACACATCCTGAAATTTAATGTACCGTTTGATGTAACGTGTTTCGTTTGAAAACATAAATGGGCCCTTTTAGATAACAGACAAAGAAAAGGGTGATTAGAAGCCTGGGTAAATTGTAATTTAAACTTTCTTTAATCAGTTCAAATTTCGGAACCCACAAAGGTTATCCTACTTCAGCACAGATAATTAATTTATGTATTGCTTCGTACGCAAATTATTATTGTGTAATGAAAGAAAGCACCGTTGTGGGTTCCGAAACCTTCATTTCTTAAATATGCTTTCCTAACTT